TAGCACAAGACATAGCTTTAATTTCATCCACAACAAGAAACATGCCCATGGAAACATTAAACCCTCCAACATCTTCTTCATCTCTGACGTGGAACCCATCATCATCAACTTTGGCCTCGATCGCCAAAGAGTAACCTACCAGTGTTTGCTGACAACATCTCCATCCCCTTTTGTTGACTCTACTGCATCTCAATCTCTCTATCACCATACTTGCCCTTCCTCTCTTCTTATTCATATTCACATCCACAATCACTTTCTCTTCTTTTCTCTCCTTCCTCCTCTTCATGCCTTTCATCATCATTTTGCGTACATTTCTTGTTCATCTTGGCCTTTATTTTAGTTTTCTTCTTCTTGTTGTTATTGCTGTTGCACTCCCTTGTGTTCATGTAGTCACCTCCTTTCCCTCTCCATTTTTTGGAAGGAATTGCTTTCTCTTTGTAGCACCATTTTCCATTTGCATGCCGCACTTAAGAGATGTTTTTTTTAATGCAAATTCACAAAAAATCATGCAAAATTAGGTCAAATCAAGTCGTATAAGAGTGAGACATTTTGGTAGAGGGTCGTCAAAAATCAAAATATTGTTATTATCATTCGACGCTTGATGAACAAGCCAGTCTGCACTCTTGTTGACTTCTTTAAACATATGGTTGAAATTGATACTCCATTTTTTTATGACGAGGTCTTTAATTTTTGATATGGTTTCATTTAAGGGATGATTTAGATTGTGGTAATGTTGAATAAGTGACAAAACTTCAAGGAAATCAGAGTAAACGTTGATGTGAGTGAAGTTGATACTCAAGGGATGCTTTTTTGTCAAGAATATGGTATATAAGCCGTAAAAAGCAGAGTATATCACCCACAAGTAATAACATTTACTTGGATTAGAGGGTGGGAGCGGGACAACCTCGAAGACAGTACCGAAACCAAAGAGGACTCCTTTCCTGTCAATTAACAAGCGACGCCCAAAGTACATACCTGCAACAAGCACATATAATAATTACATGAATGTTAAGGAAGGAACAATAAAGTTGGGTGTAATGTAAATGTAATGTTAAAATGCCACGGGCTGCAGATCCGAGAGGGGGAGGAGAGGGAGGGGAAAAAAATATGAAACATAATGTGAGATTCATAAATAATATTTTATAATAAAAAATATTTAAAAAAATTCAAAACTGACCCCACTAATGAAAACATTGACCAGAGAAACGACAAGGTGATGGACAAAAGATATTTAAAGTTGAAAGATATAAATGACCCATGGTTAAGCTTGAGTTATTTATAACCTTTTGTATATACTTTCAAAATAAAATTGATCCTTAACTCTTTAAACTTTAAACCCTCACATTGTAAAATTATAAATATAAAGTGTAAAATTATAATCATAATGCAAATTTTAACAGTAACAACAGCATTCTTATATTTGTAAATATAAAACTAGCTTAACGGCCAAAACGTTTGGATCCCAATTTACAATAAATAAAAAATAAATGAGTAAATTACTTCATGAACTTCAAATTCAATAAAACTATAGACTATAAACTTGTTTATTGTGTAAATTATTTTTTTAACTTTTGAAAACAATATAATTTAGCCCTTATTATTAATAAAAATTAACTTTAACTATTGTTGATTAATAAATTACATAAAAGAATATAAAAAATTACAAAAAAGAAACAAAAATTATAAAAAAGACCCAAAAATAAAAAAATAAAAAAATAAAGACTCAAAATTACAAAAAAGGTTTTTTTGGTTTTTTTTGTAATTTTTACGGTTCTTTTATATTATTTTTTTGTCATATAAAATTTAAAGGATAACATACTCATTTATAGATAAAATCTAGATAATACTCCTTTCATTAAAAAATGTAAGGTATTTTTTAAAAAGTTGAATGTTCAAAAATGTAAAGTATTTTAATCTTTTGAGGTATAATTATTATCTTTTTTCAAAAGTGCTGCTATTAATAATCACTTTATATTTATTGTGGGGTATTTGATAGAAATAAATATAAAAAATAGGATTAATTAAAAAGTAAGTAATTACTTTATTGAGGGATGAAACTTAATAAAAATACTTTATATTTTTAAATGGAGAAATATATTTGTTGAAGAAATATCTTTGATGAAATCAATAAACTAATATCGCTTTCGCGGTTGATATTGTTTGATGTGATGTTGGAAAAAATATTTTTGAAAAATCATAATCAACAATCACAACAAATATAAAAACAAAAAAGGAAGTGTAAATAAATTTAACAATAAAATGTTTCTTACAAAGTAGTGTTAAAAAATTGAGAAAATTTAGCTTATTTATGTTGTAAATGTTACGTTCTTTCGAGGATCTCAAATTCACTAGTTGACTTTGATGGTCTTTGAGGGATTTAGTATTATTCTCTCCTAAGGATGAGTTAATAATGATAACATCTTCAAACTTAAGAATGTTAATGGAATATTCAGTTAAAAAACTAAGTTAGAAAAGTCATTTGACTAGACTTTATAATAATTTAACATAATTATTGTTTTTATGCCAGAATATTTAGACTAGTGATATTGATTTATTATTTGTCACGTATTCCTTTAGAGTAACAAAACTTCAGAAAATTTGTCAGTTTCACCTCCCTCTTTTGTTAACTAAATTTTTGTCGTGTAAAAAGAAAAAAAAATAAAATGCACTATTCATCAATCATAAATAATGCAATGCATTTCTATGAAAATTAAAGGATAGAAAAACTAACAAAATGATTAAAAGGATAAAAAGGGAAAATACAAATTCAAAATATAATTGAATAATTAATGTTATACAAGCATTTGATCTTTTTTTTTTTGTTAATAATCGAACGTCTTACTTGACATTAATACTTTTTTTTTTTGGTTACAAACTCCACATTAATATTTTAAATAGCATCATCCAACGTTGGTTTTCACTGACAATAAAATTGTACTAACTTAATTAAAAATTCATGGTTAAATGCTTGATAAGAGAGCCTCCAAAAAATCATACAAATGCTTAGTTTGTTGTTAAATCCCTTCAACTTAGGTCGTGGTGGGTTAAGATACAGGTTGCAACATGCAAATTCAAATATATATATATATATATATATATATATATTGAGTAAATATAAAGAGTATGTTTTACTGATAACAAAATTTATCTTTTTCAGAATATTGAGAGTCAAGGTAGACCTCTTATAAATGAAATTCGAATAAAAAACATGCAAATATATTTTGGGGTTAAAATACAGAAATGCTCACACATTTTTTTAAGAGCTTTTATTATACTTAAGTCAATAATTGTTCATGTGTACTTGTTAATTTTATGAAAATAGGTTAACCTTTCTTAATTCGTGAAGTTCCATGCTCAGAACTTGATAGTCAGCACTATGCTATTTCAATGAGTTAAAAAATATTGGCTTCTTTTTATAAAATTAATGGGTATCATTGCATCATTGTTAATTGAGAGAATGTTCTCTTCTTCCTTCTCCATCCTTTTTCTAATTTTTAACCATTAAATTATGATTTATAAGGTTCTAAATCATGCATCACTCTCCTAACTTTGAATTATGTATACATAACTTCCTTAACCTTTAAAATTTTACAATAAACCTCCCTCAACTCTTATATTAATTTAAATAACTCTATATGATTAATTTTATACATTAATTATCTACACATAATTTAAAATTTAGGGGGTTATTTGTATATCAATTAAAGTTTGGGACTTAAATGTATATAAAAATAAAGTTTGAGGGGGTGTATAATTAATGGCTAGGGGTTATTTGCATAAAATTGGAAGCTCAAGAAGGTAAATTATTAAGTTTTAAAGGTTAAAGAGGTTATTTATATATTGTTTAAAGTTTAGGGAAGTTTTGTGTAATTTAATCGTTCAAATTTACTATCTTATAAAATATTTTATTTTATTTGAATCATAATTTAATGGTTAAAAAGCATTGTATGAAAACTCGGACTAGACCAGCCTATTCAGCCCGTGAACTAGTGACCCGATCTATTTTTGATTTGGGTTTCTACCTAAACCGGCTAATCAGGTTGACCTTGGGTCAACCAGGTCACTTTTTAAATTTTTTATTATTTTAAAATTATAAAAACTAAATAAAAAGTAAAAAAATTTGGCTTGAAAATTAAAAAAGTAAGGCAATGAAGAGCAAAGCAATTAAATTAGATTTTATTGTTTGTGGTTTGAATTTTGAATAAAGGGCCTTAACTATAAGTTTGAATTTAAAAGGTTCAATATTCTTTTAAGTTAATTGTACCTTAATTGTTTTAATTTTTTATTATTTATTGTTGTTCATTTGTCTAATTATTGCTTAGTATTTATAAATTATGACTGTCATTGTTGATAATTTTAACATTAGTGATAATTAGTTTTGAATTTTTTAATGATTGAAGGTTTGTAAATTGTAATTATAACAATGGATATTTAAAAATTTGTATTTTATTATTATTAAAATTTTAAGTGATTGTAATTATATAATTATTATTGTATTTGTATCTTATATTAGAGATTAATCTTAAATTTAGTTAAATATTTTCATAATTAATATTTTATTATTTAAATTATATTATTTTAATTATAATTGATTTATTCTTTAAAGTGATCCTTAATTTAACTCAAATTAAATTACTAACTCATAATTTGCTGACTTAATTGGTTGAATAATCAATTTAATTTTCAGTATCTTATTGAAAAAGAAGGGAGAAAAAAGGAAAGGGAGAGGAAAGGATGGTTGCCCAGGAGAGTCAAGGCACTTACGCGCTCACCTCGGCCACAGTCGTCACTCGCTCTTTGCCGTTGGCAGTTGGAACGTAAATTCACGCGCAAGTGGAGGCTAAGGAAATGGGGGCTACTAGGGATTGTTTTGTCATTTTCTATTTATTTTTAAAGTGCTTCCAAATTCAACAACCGATGAAGCTTTCCTTACGGAGCACGTTTCGTGATAACCGAAACGCTATAAATACCCTCCATTTCTATTTTGCATCCTTCTTTCTTCTTCTCTTTGCCTCCATTGCTTTCTTGCTGTTTCCTTCTTCGCTCTTTCACAGATTTGCCGCTTCATTGTCTTCCTCGCTCACACGGTTCCTCCTTCCTTTTAAGCTCTCAGCTTCATTCTCATTTTCGTAGTTCTTGCTCTTAATAGGCCTACGCATTACCTTCATCTCTCTCTCTCTCTCTCTCTCTCTGTTTGGCCTCTGGGAAATTACTGAGAAAAGAGATACTGTAGCTGAAATATCCTACCAACCAGTCAGGGAATCTACTCTTTCTGGTTTCTCTGTTATTCTGTTGGCTGGCCGCTGCCGAATTGTACATCGGCTCCTGCTTTACTAGGTATCAGCCTTGTTACTGGTTTGTTTCCGTTTCTGAGAATTTGGCTCCTGGAATCTGCATTCTGAGGATTATGAGTTTTCTCATTTCCTTGTTCCTCTGTTTGGAGCTTGTATATTAGGTACGTAATGAATCTATGAATAATTTTTTTTCTTTATATTTCCACTTTCTTTCACAGGAAAATGCTTTTTAAATTTAGATTCTTACGAGTCTGGTGAGGATTCGTTTTACTTTGTTTTTTCCGCTTTTGTTATCGTCTGATTCTGACTGCGTAAATTGCCTGCCATTCGGAGAGTTAGGTGACGTGGAATCTTTCCTCTTGCCTGCGCCGTTGATAACTATTCTATCATATTTAGAAATACTAGAAGCTGGTCAAAATCGGGCTTTAGTTCTTTATCTTCGTCGGCCTACGCATTCCTTTACTTTCTCTCTCTGTTTGGCTGCCGGGAAAATTACTGAGAAAAAATATACTTTTAATTGAATTATCCTACCAAACAGTCAGGGCATCGACTTTTTTTCTTCTGGTTATTTTGTTGTTTTGTTGGCTGCCGAACTATAATCAAATCGTGATTTTATTAGGTATAAGTCTTCTTTATGGTTTGTCTCCGTTCCTAACGTTTGGGAACCCGGAACCTGTATTCCGATGATTATGAACATTCTCATTTCCTTGTTCCTCTGTTTAGAGCTCCTATATTATGTACGTTATGAATTTACTCAATCATTTTTTCATCTTATTCCCCCTTTCTCTCGCAAGAATGCTTTTCAAATTGAGATTCTTGAAGTTTCCTGGTTTGATTTGTTGTACCTTTTATTTGGTTGTTGTCCGATTTTGACTGCATAAATTGCTTGACGATCGGAGAGTCCGGTGGCGTTTTGGCCATGGAATCTTGCCATTTACCTCCGTAGTTGATGATTATTCAATGATATTTAGAAATATTAGCTGGTCAAAATCTGGGCCACCTGTCTTAAATTAAAGATAATGAGCAGTTTGCTTCCTTCTGTTTTCTATTCTAACATATAATCATCTGCTTTGACTGGTCTTTTACTTGATTGGTTAATTCGGTTTTTTTCAGTTTTCCGACCACAGGATGGATACTGTCGAGTTTGGACAAAAAATTCTGATGTGTCTTTCCTTGGAACTATATTTGATTAAGTTGATGTGATTTGTTCATTGTTTTATGCTTGATTTTTTTTTCCTTCAAAGTCTGATTGTTCCTTGTCCTGATCTGATGAACTATTTTGAACCAGTTAAAAGAAAAATAAATAGGGAAAAGTCAATTTTTGTGAAGTCGATATCCTTCTTTGGTCTTTTTGCCGTTGCCCCCCCCCCCCCAAAAAAAAGAGGCGTAATTTCATTTATGCTGATAAAATAGAAATAATTTCTGGCCCTTTATATTGGCAGGCTCCAAAGAACCATTACACCCACTACCTTGGATTTTTTTTCTTCGGTTGTCATGATGCTTATTTGGGATAACAACAGAAGTATGGTGTTCTTGATATAAATGTTTACTTGTGTATAGTGGTGATAGTCTATGTCAGTTGTTTTAATGCAGAATCTTTATGTGTTGGGTCCATATATATTATTGAGTCCCACGCTTTGTAGGCCCGTAATGTGTGGTTGCGTCGTTCTTTCCTGTCCACTATACGGGGTGGACAGCTTGACAATGTGTGCATAACTATTATCTGCTAAGTTCTGTTTTGCTAAGGAAATTTTAGTTGCTCACAGTGAACGCAATATCTATTTTCATTTGCTTGATGGCTGCTGTTAGATTGTTTTTGATCTCCATCCTTTACTATTTTTGATTTTTAGTGTCTGGTGTTGGTGAATTGTAGTCCTGTGTGCTTCTGTCTTTCTTCTTCATGTTCAAGTCATTCTTGCCAGTTATTTTTACTTTGTTTTGATAAGTGAATTGATGGCTTTGTTATTAGGATATGATTTTTTTTTTTTTTCATTTGCCAAATAGCTGAAGATCTTACGTTAGTCTTCTATTTAATCTCTATTTACTACTCCTTCCATCCTAAATTATAAGATACTTTTAGACAAAATTTTACATATCAATAAAGCTCATTAAATAAATTTTATTACCTTACTTTTTCAATACAAAAAATATAAACTTTCAAAAATACCCTTCATTTAATATTCCATTGATGAAAAAATATTAAAGAGAGAGAATATATGGGAAGGATAATATTAAAAAAGTATCATTAATGAAACCTTATTTTTATTAAAGTGTCTTACATTTTGGAACGTTGAATTTTTCCTAAAAGTGTCTTATAATTTGGGATGAAGGGATTATTTTATAACTAATTAATTCACTTTTTTTAAAATGATTTTTGAGCCCTCAACAACATTTATTGTTATCATTGTGAATCTCTCAATCCAAAAATCTTTGAAGAAACCCCTTTTATGTTAAGCATGGAAGTTTTGTTATGAATTTAACATGTTTTTTAAAACTTAGTTTATCTTCCCTGGATTTTGGGAATATAAAGTTTATTAGAAAATATATGAATTATAAAAGTAGGTCTCTGAGTTTCATGTTCTTGTATTAATGGAGTTCAATGATACTTCATTTGAAAAATATTTATTCATATCCTTTTGTTCTTTAGCAGCAATTTATATTCATTTTTATAAACAATAGTGGAGAATAATTGCTGAGAACTATTAATTTACCTTTACCTTCAGCATAATTTTTTTTATTGTCATATGGAATTACAGAAGTGCTCAATAATGTATTAACTCAACCGAGATGGTGCTGTGGAGGCTTTCTCTCTTTGCACTTTTCTTGTCCAAAGGCAGATAAATCACTCAATTATGGTTCAAGGGGAGCCTCAATAATATTGAGTTGTCAATTTAGGTCTATGCCTAGTCTGTGCATTTCAAATCTTGGGTTTACTGCTTGTATGATGAGATCCCTACTGTCCTCATTTGGATTTTAGTGAATTGGAGAGTTTTAAACCAATCAATCAAATAAGAATCCAAGCAACTTCCTTCTTTTTTACTTTTTTAATAATCTCCTTTTGTGTTTGTTTTTACATGGCCAAGTGCATTCATGCTTTACAATTATTCTTCTAATAATAGAAGTTCCAACACCTGTCTCCTTCACTTGTCCCCCATGCTCCCCACTTTTTCTGGCTGCTTCATATATTCCATAATACATTTGTCTATGCATTGCAAGCGTCTTTGTCATTTATTGGTTTGTTGTTGACCAAAGCATTTGCATGTGCACTTTTTGTAATCACATCCGCTGAACCTGCTAGCTGTTTGTCTATGCCTACCTGACGCTGAATGTATTTAATTCCCAAAACAAATTCCTCTTTCAAAATGTGTTTTCTGGTGGGAGTCTCCTATAATTTTTCTTTTTTGCTTATGGTATGATGAAAAGGTAAAACTTGAATGCTGTTTGTTTCAATAATTCTGCTGCTTGATATTCAATGAGTCTATAGAAAATTAATTATATGATCATTGTTTTCAGGAACTTGGCAGTTGATGGACTGTTACCCCAAGAGTAGTGACAGGAAAACATTGAAGAAGTGGTTTTTTATTGATAAAAGAGTTGGTTGAAGTGAAAATTTGATATTGGCTCAATTGGTGATCAATACTCGATACTCTATTAATATCTGAAATTCCTGCTGCTCTATAAATTAATCTACAAACCTGGATCCAATGGACCTGAAGTCGAATCACACTCCTGTTCTTACTGATGCCGCGCCCATAACGAAATCAAGATTGAGGGTGCCTTCCAGTCTGTTGCCTTATTCTCCTACAGGGGCAGCTTTTCCACCTGGCCGGCCTCTGACAATTCCTTGGAAGAAGACAGGACTTCTTGATGATGTTCGTTCAAGTGGTTGGCTGGATGCCATGAAATCATCTTCTCCTACAGCCAAGAAGATAACAAAGGATATCAACCATGGTTTTGCATCATCTGATGCTGATAGTGCTTACTGTACCTGGCTGGTATTACTTTCTTTCTGCAGCCCATTGTGCTTGTTTTTAGTTTTCACATGTATAATTCTGGATGGGTTGTTTATGCTGTTTCATTTTCCATTCTTAATCAATATCACAGTTAAAGTATCCGTCAGCACTTACTTCTTTTGAGCAAATTACAAACTATGCAAAAGGCAAGAGAATAGCATTGTTTTTGGATTATGATGGAACTCTTTCACCAATTGTGGATAATCCTGAATGTGCTTTCATGTCCGACAATGTAAGTAATCTTTTCCAGATTTTTGGTCCAGTATTTCAGTTTTGAGCCATTCTTTGATTCTTCTTATCTTGCTGATTTTGATGTTTTAACTTATCCAGATGCGTGCTGCTGTCAAAAAAGTGGCAGAACTTTTTCCCACTGCAATAATTAGTGGAAGAAGCCGTGACAAGGTACTTGGCTTCTCATGATCATTTTATTGCAGTTTCTTTCTCTTTTTATTGTTCTGTATCTATATGTGCATTTGTGCCCATGCAGAGAATTCTAACCTTCTCCACACTCAATTTTCTCAGGTATATGAATTTGTAGGACTAACTGAACTCTATTATGCTGGTAGCCACGGGATGGACATCATTGGTCCTGTTAGACAATCTGTATCTGATAACCATCCTAATTGCATTAGGTCTACTGACAATCAGGTACCGGGGTTCAATCAAAGTTTTGATTTGGCATATGCTTTTGAATCTTGTCTTTCTGAAATCATCTCTCAAAAAAGCCTCTGCTAATATATTTGCAAAAACAAATACAGGGAAAGGAAGTTAATTTATTCCAAACTGCTGCTGAATTCTTGCCCATGATTGATGAGGTGGGTATATTTAAAAAAAAATCCTACAGTGAATCACCTTCCAATCTTTTTCTCTATGGGACTATGGCATTCTAACAGAGTCATGTTTGAGCAGGTGATGAGTTCCCTTATTGAATGTACAAAAGATATAAAAGGAGCAAAAGTTGAGAACAATAAATTTTGTGTCTCTGTGCACTACCGCAATGTAGAGGAGAAGGTAAAGGGTTCTGTTCTTATGCTTAATCCTGCGCTTGGGTAACCTATTACTTTTTTTTTTAAAAATAAAATTAACTGTTCTTAATTAAAATGCAGAACTGGCATATAGTGGGGCAAAGAGTCACTGATATTCTAAAGGACTATCCGCGTTTGCGACTAACCCATGGGCGCAAGGTACTATTTTCAAAGCCAACTTTGAGTAATTTTTTTAAGAGTTAAACATATTAGTATGTATTTAAATTCCATTAAGCAATATCTTGTTATAGAATTTGAATTTGATTGATCAAACCATTGAATCATGTGTAAGATAGCATTGATCTTGAATGCTAGGTTTTAGAAAAATTAGACCACGGTAATTAAATGAGCAGATATTTGGCATTTTCTTTTGTTTGAGAAATAAATTATATGCTAAAATATTGTAGAGTGCAAAATAGTGATAAAGAATAAATTGCCATGAAATTTAATGAGCATGATATCTGGGATGGAAAAATTTAATTCATTCTTGGATTTTTTTTTTCCGGCAACCTATATCCTATGGAAGAATTTAATAACTTGAGGTCACAACTTTTCAGGTTTTAGAGGTCCGACCAGTGATCAATTGGGATAAGGGGAAAGCTGTGACATTTTTACTTGAGTCACTTGGTGAGTTCATTTGTTATTTATTTATTTCTTAGTTACATTATGGAATATTAGCATTATCCTTGTTTCTCCGCAGCAAGTGACATTAGAAATATCTTTACAGGGCTTAACAACTGTGATGATGTGCTCCCTATATATGTTGGAGATGATCGGACCGATGAAGATGCTTTTAAGGTGACACTCGAAGAGCACTAATTTTGTGGCCAAAATCTTCTTGTTTGCTTTCATCTTTCTTTTTCTTTCCCTCCTCAATTTTCCTGATCAAATGATTTTTAACAGGTTTTGAAGGAGGGACATAAAGGTTATGGCATCTTAGTTGCTTCAGCACCAAAGGAAAGTAATGCAGTCTACTCTCTTCATGATCCATCAGAGGTATTTCTCAGTTTCAGCACGGTGGCTTAAGAATGAGGACAAAAAATACACCGTTTGATAGGTAGAAAAGTGCTTTTTAAAAAAGGAAAAGAGAAATATATCTATATTCCATTTTCTTTCTAGATGCATTTCTCTTTTTCTTCTTGAAAATACTTTTCCATTTACCAAATATGAAGGTTGAAATCGCATAAATCCGTCCAAACTTCTCTGGCAGCTATTTTATTGTACTTTATTAGGGAGAAATAGGGTGCTAATAAAATGCACTCGAAAAATACTGCATTGATCTTTAGGCCAGGCACAGTGGCATTTAATGCTGGACAGGATTCAAAAATAAAAGGGTTGAACAAATTTGATCAAAACCAATATGGTGTTGATCTTGTTCTCCAACCATGCCTTTCCATTTTAACCAAATGAGTTGTTTTATTTGACAATCAAGACTATCTATAAGCAACATAATTAAGAGGCTCTAATTTTGTTGGTACCACAATCAGGGATGAATCCACAGTGATATATATGGGGGACAAATTTCAAATAACATAAAATATGGGGGGCCATAATTTTATCAGTTTTTATAAAGAAAACTTCAGCCATTTTCAAAGGGAGGCGGAAAGCAAGGTGCTTGTCCCCCTAGATCCGTCCCTCACCACGATAAAATATCCTCGGGCCTAAATACTTGTATTGCTAACCCATATAAATCTTAAATTATTCAATCACCTAAAAAAAATAAAATCCCAAAGGATAATATCATCATCATATAATAATCCTATGTTCACACTCTGTGCCGGCCTAAACTTTCCCTAATGTTTATATTTGCAGGTCATGGAATTTCTCAAGTCTCTTGTGGTTTGGAAGTCAGGCCTCCTTAAAAGCTACATATAGGTTTATAGAAGAGAATATATACTCTACTACGTATATCTAATAAAGATAGCTTTATGTTTCAAGATTTTTGGGTTTCCAAGGAAGTATTATTCCAGGAGGTTTCTTGGAGTAGACGATTTCCTCACAGAAGCCTCTCATGGAAGCATAGTCTCTACCTAGCTAACTTCTTGTTTTTGCTCAAAGCTCCTTTGGTAACTGTAAATTCTTGGCTCATAATTATTTCATAAAGTATTACAGAAAAATATGTGCTGAGGGTAATTTCTTATCAGAGTATATTAATATGTTTCATTTCATCTCCTTTCTTTGTCAGTTCTGGTTATTGTCCTCTAATTTTTCATTCATGGCTTCCACAACAAACTATTCATTTGTTAATTCTTTTACATGTAGAACGATATATCGATTATATTTTTAAATTAAGCTTATTACCATTACGTGAATGTTCTCTTGTATCTGTCCATCTTCTCATGGTGGTGACTCTGCTATAAAATTATTATGGTAGATTTTGGTACAAGATAATTTCTGTTCTTCAGGTGCTTTCAAACCTATTTATAGAATGATCTATTTTGCTTGGTCTAGCTTAGGCAATAACTGCATTTTAATCAAGGTTATTATCTTTGAATGAGCTCATTTTGAAGAAATGTAGAACAGAGCAACTACGATGATGATGATAACAAATTATCTACTTTTTAAAATTTTTAAAATTAACTCTCTCATCCACTTAACAGTTAATATTCAACTATCTACCCCTTCTTTTCCTCTAAGTGGGTACACGAATGGAGTCCAAAATCTGAAGATATTGAGTTTATTGATATTTATATGTGTGTGCCTATTTTTTTAAAAAAATAATTTTAACCAATGTGAGACATTTTTTTCATAGTAAACTCACTAAGAATTCATTGAAAAAAAAAAAACAAGCTTATTCACTCTCTAACATCTATGATCTAACTACCTCATCATAATTAAGAAAATGTGATTAAGTTATTAAACTTTGTCTAAAAATAAAATAAACTTTTAAATTTTAAATTTATCCCTATTTAAATGAGAAATTTTGAGTAAATTGCTCCAATGGCCATGAAAACTATATTAATCATAAATTATGGAAGAAGTTTTTAAAAATTTTGGAATGTGGCCCATTTACAATAAGTTGAGGTGTGATTTTCCTTTTTTATCCTCAAAACAAATTAAAAAAAACTTGTGTAACAGAAAAACAAAACTCCTGTAACTAAATGATTATAATCATGTCTTATTTACAATCATATATCGTTTTAATGTTTAAATACTTTTGAATACTTTGCCGTCAGCTTAGAAAGCAATATATATTTTAAATTTGAGAATAAGAATGAGATTTCAAATTTGGAAAAAAAGGGGTGTTTTTGTCATTTCAATTTAACTTAAATATTAATACTGCCACATTGCAAAATATTTAAAAATGTTTGGCTGTTATATTTGTTTGGTCCTATTAAATGGGCTACATATGCTGAAGTCTAATTTTTTTTTAAGTTTATATTGCATTTTCTCTCATTTTTAATGAGTTTAAATAGAAATAAATTTTTTAAAAAATATAATTGATAACTTATCAAGTGTTTTATATTAAAAACAAAAAAAAAGTCTTCTAGAATGCAAAGGAACTAGATGTAACACAATCTATCAAGCAATTAATAACAAGTATCAATCATTATTATGTACTCAAAACTCAACTTATAGTTATATATATATATATATATATATATATGTTCTCAAGTTTTAAATGTTTAGATGTATGTAAATGTGCATATACATACATATAACATATATATACATATAATGATTTGTTTTTGATCAACACATAATTATATGTTGGAAAACAAAAACTATCACCCACATCAACTATAACTAAAGGGGTCAAGGGCCAGGTTGCAATCGACTCCAGCCCCATATTCGGCCCGATTATTACCCAAGTGGGTCGGTCCAAAAACAAATGATAAAAACTTGTGGCAAAAAAAAAAGGAATTTTTTTATTAAAAATAAAATATCATTCATCTAAATTATTTTAATTTGAAAAATAATATTAAAATAAAAATAAAAATAAAATATTTTAAAATCAAGAATAATTAACAATTATATATTATTTGTGTATGATAATAAGTTAAGAAATCAATTTAATGTTCGTGTTTTGAATAGGATTATCTTTAATAAGAAGATACTTATGAGTAAAAAAATAAAAAATTAAGAAATTAAGTTAAAAATTTAAATAAAGTTGAAAGACTTAAATATTAAAAAGTCTCAAGGATAATTATAAAGTTAATTTATAATACAATATCAATGAAGAAAAACAAATATAAAATCAACCAATATCAATAAATATTAAAAAATATATATAACAAAATTAATATATAAATATCACGCCAGGATGAGTTCTACATAACTACATTGCCTGATTCGGTGTTAGTTTACATATCTTTCGTTATTTGGGACCATGTTCACATTTTTGAGCTTCCATTTTTGTTTTAAAAAAGATGTCTTCATTGAATACCTGACTGTCAATAATATGGATTAGCTTTGGCCAAAAAAAAAAAAAAAGAGCTAGCTAATTTTTTTTTTTAAATGGAGACCCATGTGAGGAAAGATAAATAAATTTGATTTTCCCCCCACTGAAATAGAAGTAAATTTGATAGGAGTCCTTCAGGATTTTAGTTAGATTAATATGAACCAATATTTTTAGAACCAAACCAGATAGGACAGTGGTTTAAGATTGTTATGATCAGACTAGTAATATAATAATTAAAAAAATTATATATGTATATAATAATCTAAATATAAGAGATAAATATGAACTTATTCTTTAATTTAACAATAACACCAAACATTTTAAATTTATCATGACTTAACAAACTACATAATACAACATAACATCAAGTGATTAAAAAAAAGGGTCATTTTTAAAAAAGAAAACTGATGAAAAAAATAAAAAAAGAAAAGGCATATTTTTTGAGCTCTTCAGTTTTTAAAAATTGGATCCAATTCTTGATTTAAAGGAGTCTAATCCAGCCCAACTTCTTAAATGGTATTTTTTTTTGACTGAGTCGTTAGTTTAACCGGTCAATGGTTTGACCATTTAATTTGATCTAATTTTTTAATTATTAATATAAACTAGCTAAAACTTTAGTGTGACCTTTAAAATTAAAAAACAAAAAGGATATCTTCATTGAATAGCTGACTATCAATAAGATTGCCTCCTCCTCCTCCCTCCCTATTTTTTTTTTTTTTAACTTTAAAACGGAGACCAATATTAGAGTAGGGACGCGACTCATCAAAAGAAAGAAACGAACCTAATTTATTACCTAAAAAAGAAGCAACTAGCTTTATATAACAATTAAGAGGGAGACCAAAGACACGACACCAAACGAAGAAAGAAGGAAAAGAGTTAAATATTTGGAGCACAAGTTGTCCACTGATCCTTTGAATAGAAGTTGAGTAAAAATGATTCTTAATTTAATAAAAAATAAAAAAAATATCAAGATTTATTAATAATTAATAGACGTTAAATATTTTTAATATTAGGATGATGAAGGAAGAAATATTTAACATTAAAAAATAGAATTGACTTATTGTTGAGTTTAAGATCTATAATAATCTTTTAGATAAAGTTAATAGACAAAAATGACCATTAACCTTTATCAAAAACAAATGAGAGATCAGAAGCAGGACTGAAATACACAAGAAAAAAGGATAAGAGTTTTGAACAATTTTAGCCAAGCCATGAAGATGCCAGAAAACATTAATAAATAAGGCTTGAAGCTTAGAAGTACTTAACAGAAAATAATCTAAGAGCTTGAACACAAGATAGTGATGCCTACAAGGAGAAACATGAGAGGAACGATACTTAGAGAGAAACATGTTTGAAAAAAGAACCAAAAAAATATAGAAAGAAAAGGAAAATGTGATGGGCCTCATGACATGGATGACATGACGTTAATGACAACAAAATTTAAGAATAGTAATAACGAGCATAGTGGTATGAAAGGAGTCCAAGGCAAGAAACAAGGAGTCCAACACTCTCAATCCAACGTGCCTAAAGACTTTTTACAACATGTTGGAGGTCTAATGACAAAAGCTCAAACTAAAATTATGAAGCAAGCCTTGTTTAGTTTTGTGCAAGAAATCTAAGAGCTTGGAGAGCATTGAGGCATTCCTCTCAAGCCTAAAGGAGAGCATCTAAGCGTGTATAATGTACTTAAGATCTAAATCCATGAAGAGTCAAGCCCAATAAATGCAAACCCTAGCCCAATGTAAGGAAGAGTACAAGTTGAGCCTCTTACAAGCAAAGAGACATGAAACCCTAGTAAAGAAGTTAAGGGTAGTGTGATTTTAAATCCTTTATGATCCCTTAATTGTTTTCTATTTTAATGGTACTTTGACTCGACTTTCTTTCTTAAGGAGTAAGACTAGTCATAGTTTTCTATTTTGAGTCTAGTCAAAGATTAGGATTAATTATATTATTTTAATTTTTAAGTTTTGTATTTCCATAATTTTAGGATCACATCTCTTAAATTATGTGGCTGAATATTTATTTTATATTATTTTCTTTCTTCTTTTAGTATTAGAAAATTAGGGTTTTAATTTTATAAAAGTCTTCTCTATGAGCCTATATATATTAGGCATGCTCCCTCTTGTAAATGGAAGAGAAGTTGAATGAAATTATTCATTTTAGAGTTTATAACTCTTGTGAGCCTTAGTGCTTTGTGGTAGCATCTCGTGTGAGAAACAAGCATGATCAAGAGCTGATCAACTCTTGTGGTGTCTTCAAAGGTTGAGGTTCCTAGAGCAAGATACTCTAGAGAATCTTATTCTTGATCATTATCCTATTAATTATTTTATTTATTTCTTTATTTTTATCATAAATTTCATTCCTTTCTTTTTATTCTTGTGTTTTTGTTGTGTTTTAAGGTTTTGTCCCTAAACTGGCATGATTCTGCTTCTGCGTCTCTTATCAAAATGAGTAGAAGCAACAACAAAGAAGGGAATCAACATAAGAAAGACAAGGAAAAAAAAACTAGAGGAATCACCATGAAGTAGCGGGAATTGCCATAGACTTTAGAGAGAAACGAGCTCTCCTCCATTAAGATTACCTTTAATATAAGGATACTCATGTAATAAAAATACTTTCAAAAAATGGTTGCCTTTTCTACTTTAGTGCGGATTTAAGATTTAACTTCTTCGAAGTTTTTGAAGCCATATTTTGAAAGTTGGTTATAAAATTTGTAATTAAATTTTGCCCCCCATAAGTAGAAGAAGAAGAAAATTTGACTCCCCATAAAATAATCCTAAATCTATCACTAGTCTACTCCATAAATTTACATGAAAACTTAACTTGTTAGCTGATCAGGCAAGTCCCTTGAACTAATATATATATATATATATATATATATATATATAGGGGGGCCACGTTTGAAAATTTCCTTTATAAATGGCTGAGTTATTGTTTATTAAAAATGCTAAAATCACCTTTAGTTGCCCCCACTGTTAAATAAAATTTCAGTTATAACCCTCCTATAAAACAATTTCTGGGTTCATCCTTGTATGTATGCATGCGTATAAAAATTTAAAAGTTAATCCCTCTTCAATTTCCACCTACTCAATTGGCCTCATAAATTGATAAGATTTTTCTTCTAGAAAGTAGCTCGTGGTTTCCAAAAACAGCTAATGCATGAGAGAATCATGAAAATATACCTGTAAAAGCAAATAATTAAATCACAATACACTAGCACAAGTGCATAATCATCTGATTGACGTGAATGTTTCCAGAATCTCCTCAACCAATATAAAGAAATGTCAATTGGTCTCTAAACACATTAAAAATTTAAAGCATATTTTACTCCATAATGTATTACTCACATGCATATTGCATATTAGAAATTATTTCAATAATAACTTGTTATGTATGTTTGTTACAGTTTATTACTCTTGTGCATGCTTAAAATATAAACTAATAATTTGTTTTATTCTAGAATTTATTACCTCATATATATACACATATTAAAAATATAAGTAATAAAATTTATTATTTTGTGTAAGCTAAAATTTTGAACACCCGACCACCTTAAGATTTGTTATCGAGAAGATGGCAGAATAACTGAAGGTTATACAAGTCAATATATAAACCTTTAATCATATATAAATGAACTTTCAATTATTTGGAGTCCTTATTGCTTTTTCCCCTCATTTGGAGGCCCTCGTTGCGATTTTTCCTTTATTATTTTGCTAAAGTATATCAAATATATATATGATAATCAACATTGCATTGCATAAAAATGAATGCGCCAGGAATTGCATAATATGGGCTCTATGCATTCTACTTTTAATTTAATAAAAAGGAATTTTGATCGTTTGTACATTCATATTTTAAAATTAAATAATTAAATACTTTATCACAAGTTATTTTTCCTGTAAATATTTACCATTAATGATAGATAACGCTTATTTAAAAAAATTGTAGAATAAGTACAGATACTCTACTAATTAATTGGCAAATAGTGCTGTCAATTAAGATTAGAGTTTAAATGGACCGACTTTGATAAGCTTAATTATACTTTAGGCCTCCATTTTGTAAGGTCCAGCTCTGTCCCTTAAGGTTGAAGGGTTGACTGCCAATTTTTTTTTTCAATTTAAAAACCTATAAAAATATATTTATAATCTTAAAAAAGTTATTCCACATGAAATTGAATTTAGGAAAATAAATTTAAATCAATTCATACCACAATAAATATGTAAATCTTAAACATTTGAGTTTAATATTAAATAGTAATATCAAAATTAATACTGCTAAAAATTAAATTTTATTAACATTATCAACCGAATCTTGATGAATAATTGAGAGATGATGGAATGAGTCTAAGATTTTCATATCTTTTAGTTAAATACTTAATTTTTTATTTTTTCAAATTAAAATTTAAAAAATAAAAAAATTAAAAGAATTGACTCTTTTATTTTCAGAATTAAAAGGACTCGAATTACCTTTTTTATTAACCTTAAAATAGCAGCCTATCTTTATTATTTTTGGTTTTAAAAGGCTCTACCCGTATAATTGACAGCTTAAGTAAATTGTTTCCCCTTCCCACCATTCTGGGTATAAATGCTTGTCTGACAAGTGGTAATTGGCAAATGCCAATAAATTGGAAACCGCTCCTCAGACGACTTGACGTATTTCTTCCGTACACGACAGCTGAGCTCATCCAGCCACGATCCGTGGGATTTCAGTTTGATTTTTATTGGAAGTCTTTGTGGCAGTAAACGACATCATTGTTGTTCGCCCAAAAATATACAACCAAGAACCACAAAATTCTCAAACGACGTTCTTGATACGGAGGAATCTTTTCATTTTTCTTCATAGATGTAAACAAGTCATTTGACAAGTTTTCCCTATTAACATGTATAACATGATTTGGGTAATATTGATATGGACACACACACACACGATAAAATATAATACATAAGATACGATGATCAATAAATCAATTCATTTTAAAGCCATGTTTTAAGATTCAGATTGATCCAAATAGTTCAACCATTTGAACCATCATCCGGATGCAAAAATGACTTGATTCATTAACTTATTTTAAAGATTGACCCGCCCATTTTGAATCAGGTGGGTTTTTGATGGATCCAAAATTAACTGAAAACAAGTTTGCTTGACTCAGACAGGTCTTGGGCAGGGGCGAAAATGACATTTGAAAAATTCTAAACCATTCAATCTTACATGTCGTGGCATTATTGCATTGGCAACTGGGGCATATCGTAATTTTGTGGTGCTATTATATGGGTTAAGGTTCATTTCTTCCTGTTAACTTTTTTCCCGAAAAGCAGTGACAATTTATTCTTGAATCATTTTTCTAAGTAGCACCAAGAAAAAAAATTCTTTCATTAATCACCTATTAATTTTTTTATTTTTTGCCAATATGGCATATACGTGAGATTTACGTGCAATAAAAAGTAGGCTTTTGACAATTTTTTAGTGTTAATTTATCATTGAATTTTTTTTAGGAGCATTAAGCATTCTAAAATTTTGTTAAAATAAAATTTAATAAATATTGTTAAAATATTAATGATGAGAATAAGAAATGATGAAAAGAAAAAGAACTAATTAAAAATATTGAGAATTCGAACATTGAAGATATTTTATCTTATTAATTAGGAATATCTTGTTTAATAGTTGTAAATTGTAATATTTAAATTATTGTAATCTTTCAATATTTATTGTTATCTTTTCATTTAATTTTAAGATTTCTAAAATATTAAGATTTCTAACCTTAATCCATTTGCTATTATTAGTAGGGCATAAATGTATTTTGGAGAAACTTATTTATTTATTATTTATTTCATCATCATCATCATCATCAAATTTATTATTTATTTAATCATTATACAATTATTATTAAGACACGCAAATGTGTGTTATCCGCTTAACTAGTTAATATTAAAAATTATATTTATATATATATATATATATATATATTATACAAGATGATGATTACTGTAAAAATGAAGATAATTATGAGAGTTTTGCATCAATTATAGAATCATTTATTTTATTTTAAAAAGCAGATACGAACTTTTTTTGGAATTTAAAATTGTGCTACATAAGTGTTAAATTACGTTAAATTGTCTAATTTAACAGTCTTTTATACTGAAATACCATCTAAACATAAGTTTTAGTTAATAATGCTTTTGTTACATATTCTTTAAAATATGGTTAACTTAATTTATTCTATATTTAAAACTTTTAAGGATATTTATTTATAAATATTCAATAAAACTTGTATAATTTTATGGCAAACAATATCTAAAAAATCTTGTAAACATGTAGTTTTTAAAACGTTATACACTGTAACATAAATATAATTTTTATACTATCATTTATCTGAAAACTAAATATAAATATATATCTCTAAAAATGTAATCCAAAATAAAATTTAGTTTTAATTATTTCAAAATACTTTATTTTAATATTTCGACACAACTGAATTTTTATTAGTTATCAATTAATATTTTTATCATTATCTTATTATTCAAATTTCAATCAAACCTTTTTATCATTATCCAGTATATAATCTTACTAATATCCCTACCCTTTATGAAGTCCAAACCAACTAAGATTTTCCTCATTCACTCTGAATTCTCGAAATTGCTATATATTCCTGTTCACTTTATATCTCATCCTCCAATCCATCATTCGGTGAATACTTATTGCACATATCATAACAAAAATGTCATACGGCTATCGCTTCAAATGCATCATTGTCGGTGACACTGGTGTAGGAAAGTCATGTCTTCTTTATCAATTCACTGACAGGCGATTTCAACACACCCACGACATAACCATTGGCGCTGGATATGGAGCTCAGATGATTCGAGTTGATAAGAAACTGATGAAGTTGCAGATCTGGGACACGGCTGGTCAAGAAAAATTCAAGTCCCTTACTAGGTCTTACTTTAAAGGAGCTATAGTTGCACTGCTTGTGTATGATATAACAAGGAGGGAGACTTTTGAACACTTGGATTCATGGATGGAAGATGTTAAGGAACAAGCTGATGCAAATGTGACGATTGTGTTGGTTGGGAATAAGTCTGATCTTTCTCTGAGAAGGCAAGTGAGTACTGAGGAAGCTGAACATTTTGCTAAAGAAAATGATTTGATCTTCTTCGAGGCTTCAGCGAAAATGGGTCAGAATGTTTATGAGGCATTTGAAGAAGCAGCTAAAGTTGTGTACAAGAAGATTGGGAATAAAGATTTTGATTTATCAGATCAGAGTTGTGGAATAAAAGAAGCATATTGTGGGAATGTCTATCTACCATATGAAGAAAAGAGTATTGGTTCGTCTTATAGAAGAGCTTGTTGTCGCACCTAAAAGCCTAGAAAATAGTTACTTGTTTTATTAATTATTTTTTAATAGTTTATTGTGTTCTTCTTTTTTTTTTCCTTTTGAATATACGCGGATATTAAAATATCTTTTACATTATTCATAAAATTGAATTTCTTTCGTGGGCAATAAATAAATAAATGTTATATATAATAGTAGATTTAAACTGATGATGAGAATTAACATTGCAGGCATATGAAACTTAAAGGATTCAAAACAATGAAATAAAATATCAAAACTAATATCAAAACACGTTAGAAGTAGAGGAACCAATAATTATATTTTCTCAAAAGAATTAATGACAACTTATAAATATGACTGAAAAATAATTTCTTTTTATCTTATAGAACCCAATGAGTCATAGATTTACAAACTCTTTTATTTTTTTAGGCTAAAATGTACAAAACATTTTTAAATTTTGAGACAGTTGCACAAAAGCCTTGAAAGTCCACTCAAAAAGAGGTGAATTGGGCTTTAAAAAAATTTGGCTAATAATTAAATTAAAAAAATGAGTTTAGAACGATATCACTAATCATAGAGAGTAAAGAAGAAAAGCTTGCATAGTTGTTTATCCTAATTCAATTCTAACCACTTGAGCCTAAGTTCAGTTCTCAAGTGCACCTTGAGATTTTTCACTAACTCTATTAAGATTAATTTGGGTTCTTGATAGTCTTGGTACAACTTTAGGTTCACAGTAGAGTCTAAATCACCTCCTTACAAAAGTAATAACATAGCTAGCTTAAACTCTTCGAGTTTAAGATCCTTTGTTTGAAGTCAAAAAAACATAAATGAATAAAGTAAGTTCAATAATAAACTATTGCTGTTGAATACTCTATTTAAAAGTTGACATATAATCAATGAAGTTTTCACATAATAAATATAAATTTGAAAAGTTAGTAAACAATAAATATGAATAGCTAGAGTTTGTTCATTTGCATTCGTTTTTCACTATTTTTATAAATACTCTTATTTATAGTTGGGCTTCATAAATGATTTGTTACACTCTTGAATAAAGCCATTAGAGTGATCAATTTCTTTCTACAGAATTATCTAAACATTCTCTGAAACGAGACAATATAACAATGCTTTACAATAGAGCTTTCTCTACACGGCAAGTGAGAAAAGTAATGTCTTTTTGTATTAAATGTTTTGATAAGGTAGATGATCTTTCAGAATAACATTACTATTTGGAAATAAAGAATTTATAAATAGGATTGAGGAGAGCTCAAATTTACACAAAGCAGCATTTGGAGTGATTGTATGAAGATTATATAACTCATATAGCTCTCAAAAAGGAAAGGGAAAGAGATTAGAATGACCTCAAATTGCCCCTATTCTACTCATGAAAAATAGAGTTCAGCTTACTTCGAAATAGGTGAGGATATTTTGGAATAGTGAAGAACAATAACGAGAAGCAGAGAATGGTTCTTTCAAAGTGATCATATCTTATATATTATAAGAGAGTTACAAAGCACTAATATTATGATGGAGTTCATTATTTGAGAATAAGTGAAGCTATTTCCAAATATCCTATCACTGAATAAGTAGTTATGAAAGATGTATTATGAATAGTTTAGAAAGGGAGATGTACTATTTTGAAATAAGGGTAGTTATTTTGAAATAAGCTATATCAGAAAGGCCAATGAGAGGATATTTGGTAATGAGACGACATATTGTGAAATAAGTTATTTCAGAATATTATAATTAATAGTTTATAAAGCCGTCTAATAACAGGGAATGAAACTCAGAAGAAAACAACTTTAAACTCCATGAATTGCGTAGAGCCACGTTTAATCAATCAACGGTCAATATTAAGATTGTGTGCAAGTTTTAGACACCAAATTAGAACTACTATATTTAGTTCCACGTAATCATCCACATCACCTACTTGTCTCGTTATCCATAATTTTTCAATATAACGTATATAGGTGTAAAACAAGTTGAATACGCATTTCTTTGGATTTTGTTCAAATAAATTTTTTCTGTATTTTGAACACGTGTGTTTTAGTGTAATATGTTGAATTTCTTGCTAAAATTTTTATTAACCTGTATGAAGTTTAATAATTATTTAGTGTATATATTTATAGTGATTATGGTGTTCACCTCATAACATAATAGCTTATTAAATACTTGAATTTTTACCATTGTTTTCCATTGATTTACATGAAATGAGAGATGCTTATATAATTTATTTTACAACTTTTGTTTGTTAATAAATTATTTTTTCTTAAAAAATACATGTTTTCAAGAACAAAATTATATGGACTTTTCTTAAGGGATTATTATATTATTATTTTTAAACCCTACACAGAGCCTCTTAAAAAAAATTAAAAATGAGACTATTTCAATTTTATTAAATTATATAAATGTGTATTTAAATCTATGCAACTCTCTCCAAAAAAATATGAATCAATAACATATTTTTTTATAATTTCAATGAATGTACCGCTATGTTATAATCTTATGGAAGCTTTGTTTATATTTTAAAATTAAATAAAAAGGCTACATAAAAATTTTTAATTTTTAAAATTAAAAAAGGTTACATAATTTCAAAATATTCGAAAAGGGCCTTTATGCATCTTTTTATAACAGAAATTTAATTATATCGAGTTTGAAAAAGTAGGAAAAAAGAAAAAATTATATCTAAATTCCACATAAAAAAATTATTATTAAGAGGTCCCATAAAATTCATAAAAATACTTTCAAATTTTAAATCTTGTTTATTTACATCTTGATTAAGGGCATTAATAATTGGACTTTACAAGATTTGGTATAATATTTTGTGAATTTCATAAGACTTTTTGATAATAAATTCTTTTATATGGAATCCAAATGTAATTTTCCTGAAAAAATACAAATTTTATAAATCTGAATTTTTTTTTTAATTTCAGACATGAAATAGCGTGTGTCTCATGTATTACACAATCTTGGAGAATAAGTCACAGTATTTACGATTCAGGAACAGTACGTACCTTCTGAGACTTTTTACATTATTGTTTATTTTAAATTTATTTCAAAATTTCAATTTAATAAGACAAAGATATACTTTCAATAAACCACAAATAAGATACTAATAACTATTTTACGGTTTTAGGAAGAAAATAGATAAAATTTTAATCTTTTAAAAAATTATATATCTTTCTAATCACATTCTCATTAAATAACCTACATAACTACAAGTGCCTTAATAATAATAATTAAAATTTTGATATATAATTTTTTTTAAAAGTAATAAATGAACTAGGAGTAGAATTAAAAAATTAATTCTAAAAGCTACCTAATATTCTATATATTACACAAACTAAGTAGAGATTTTAAAAAATTTAGAAAAATTAGTCATTTGTTTCAAGTATTTTTGGCTTATTTATAACCTAATTCCTAAACTTTGATCCATAAAATTTTGACTTAGCTGCAATTTATTGCCTAAATTTTGATTTGGTGCAATTCAGTTATTATAATTTTAATAATTTAAAATATTAGATCCTAATTTTTAAAATAATTTTAATTTAATTTTATAATATTATTTTATAAAATATAAAAATTAATATTTTAAATAATTAAAATTATAGATATTAAATTGCACTGTCAAATTTCAAGTATTGAGTGAATCAATTAAAGTTGAGAGAGATTAATTTATAACTCACATAAAATTACATTATTGAATGATTAATTTTTTGACAAAATTTTCTTTAGGTGAATGCAAGAAGAAAAGTGCTGATCTGCTCCCCCGTCTTTCTTTTAAATGATGTCTCTGTCGCATACAACTTGTCACATGGCTCTCTCTCTCTCTCTCTCTCTCTTCCAAATTTTGTTGAAACCGCCAACTAACTTTCTTCCATGCCTCGTCAATTGAGCCTCCCTTTCTGCTTCTTCTCATTCAGTAAAATCTTCTCTTCTCTTCCAGATTCTTTCATTTAAACTCGCCGCCTCACAAATCTCACTGTTAATCACCTACCAATAGCTTCCTCTTTTGTGTGTATATATAAATATACATACATTCATACATACATACATATACATCAACAGCTCTTCTTCTTCTTGAGTCTCCATTGTGCTATAACCATGGAGGCCATCACCAAGCACGCTCAAGGGCGCACTCCGTTGCTCAATGCACCGCCGCGCACGGTGAGGACTCGCCGGCGACGGTTGAGCTTCGTGGTCGCAATCTTGTGCTTAATCATTGTGGTGGCGTGTGTGGTCGCATTGGCGAGAAACCAGAGGAGGGAGGAGGCAAGATTGACAGAGAAGAAGGAAGGAGAAGAAGAGGAAACTACGACGTCGTTTCGGGAGGTTCGGATTCCGAGAGGAGTGTCTGAAGGAGTATCGGCGAAGTCGAATCCGTCGTGTTGGTTAGTTTCAGAAAACAAGCTTTCGTATAATTGGACGAATGCAATGTTCTCCTGGCAACGAACTGCTTATCATTTTCAGCCCAAAAAAATTGGATGAACGGTATGTCTGCATTTAACTGTCTTTTAATATTATATATATATATATATATTAATTATTAAGCTTACATTGTTTGATTCACTTGGTTGTAACTTAATTCTTGATATTTAACTTGGTGTACATAACTCAAATTTTATAAGTTTTAATCATTAATCTATATTTTACACTTTATGTCAGTTACAATTTAATTCTTGACGTACAAGATGGTTTTATGGAAGTAAGAGAGCAACAAATTAAATGAGTAAAACGTGAGAGAGGATTATATTAGATATATAAGTTAAATTTTAGGAATTAATAGTAATTAATCACAGGGTCAAAAAGTAATTTAAATTTTAAATTATAGGTTCAAAGATAATTTAAACCCTAAATTGATTTTTAAACTTTTAAAAGATATATTTTAAATTCTAAACAATTAAAATAATTTTACTTGTATTATTAAATTTCAACAATCATTCATCAATTTTTAAAAAATTTGAGTCTAATGTATGATTTTTCTTAAATGAGGGTAGGAGACATGGAAGAATAATAAAATTAAGCGAAAATTGCATATTAAACCCTAATTTTTAAAAAATTGATAGACGTTTGTTCAATTTTACAGTGGGAGAAAAATTATCAATTTTAACTTTTTTTAGGTCAGAATGTATCTTTTAAAAATTTAGGGCTGAAATAACTCCTAAACCTATAGTTTAATGTACAATTTGCTGTTAATCCTAAATCAAAATTATAGGATTAAATAATTATTTTTTTATTTCTTAACCTCTATATCCTAGATCTAGATAGGACTCCTAATAAAACTTATATAATCCAAAAATTAATGTTCATTTTTATATATATATATATATATATATTTAAAAAAATTTGGATTTACTTCCTCTGAAATTGTTGTCATTGATGGTGAATTTTTGTGAAGTTTTTTTTTAAGAAAGAAAGAGAACATTTCGTATTTTATAAAAAATAAAATACATGAAAATACTTAAAGAAAAAACTTCTGAATTCACTAGTCCCAATTTTAGAAAATTTAAATAAAAAAATTACCTTCAACAACTCCTCATAGAAAAGGAGACACCTTCTCACTTGGCACACACATCTCAGGAGAGGGATAAAACAGAGGTGATCCCACCTATAACATGTGGGTCTAATATGTAATTTACTATTTTGTGCTATTTTTTTTCCCAGCTTGGTCAAAAGTTATTTTAAAAGTTTCTTCCCAAGTTTTTCAAATGTTAAATTATATAATCAAGTCACGTGGAAAGTTCTATCATCATGAAAAAAAAAAAGTTTCTATTATCAATAGAATTTATTCCTTGACTATCATGAAAAAAAAAACACTTTTCATGCATAATGCATATTTTTGGCCTACAACGCTCCCGTAAGCTTTTTCAAATTTTATTTTGGTGGAAATTTATGGAATGTTTTTCTCATGTAAGTGTTCTTAGAAGTCTTTTTAGTAGTAATATTTGTGTTCACCAAAACAAAATAATCAAGCCACAGAATATATTATTAAACTAAATCAAAATTAATTTTAAATACACACATAATATCAAATTTGAATAGAAGTTAGGCTATTCATAAGCTTTCAACATTATAACTCATCTTGGATTTTTATATATGCAAAGTGCAGGCCAGAATTAATATATATAGTTTAAGTTCTATAAATTTAATTTTAAACCGAAATTCTCTTCTTGCTGGTTTTTAAAATAAAAAAATATTTTTCTTTAGATAAAATCAAATTTCTTATATATTGAATAAGATGTCAATACCTGTGATAAGAAATTTGATTTTATCTACCTATATATATATATATATGTAATTTACTGTCAACCTTGAGAAATTGAGCACAATCACCAACGAGTCAAATTTGAATTATTTATTGATTTTGTTTCGTATTTGAAATGGTTTACTTGTCCATATTTGAATGGTAGTTGAAATCCTCCAGGGCAGGTGGAGGGTCAAGATTAACTTTCCAAATTTAGCCATCGTCCAACTTTTGTTTAATTTTCTATTGATAATTAGTTTGTTTGTCCCAAAAGAAATTAATTTTAAAATTAACTTGAAAAGGTTGAAGAATAAAACATGTCAAGCTACATAAAATTATATTGCAAAAGTCTAATATTTTTTATATTTAAAATTTTTTAATTTAATATAACTATTTAATTGAATCAAATTTAAGTATTATCGAGCCCAATTAAAAAATAGCTCTTCCAACTATATTTTTTGTATTTATATGGATTTGAATTTAAAATTTGGCGCTTAAACAGTCATAGCTTATTTTACTATGACCAATGCTTATTGGTTAATATTTTTTTTTCTTTGATGTAATGAAGTTAGAAAGATTATTTTTTTGTCAATCAAACCAAAATGTTAGTTCAGGTGAACTTTTTGGATCCAACTCTCGTAAACTTTTTATTAAAAAAAATGTGAGTTCATACTTTGTATGGAGTTTGATGTGAGCTGTATTATTTATAACTATAGATAATTAATCTTTTGTAAGTTTTGCTTTATATATTGATATATTAATATACTGATTTGATAATAACGCCTGATAAAATGCCGGGCTTCACATGGAGATTTAAAATAATAATTTTTTATTATAATATTAGTGATAAATATTAAAATGGTAAACAATATGCCACATTCACGTTACTATTATTTACTGCACCTAGTTTCTATTTTTAATTTATAAATAATATAAATTTTTTTATTTCAAACGTACACACGATGAAGACAAATGGTAAACTAACTGCCTTTTTTCCCCCCGTTGTATTTCTGTTTGATGTGGTGTTCGTGCATATATCTCTTTGGTTGGTGCTGCTTCAGATCCTGATGGTACGTATCTACTAAAGTTTTTATTTTTTTTATTTTAACTTTTGCAAATGTTTAACTTTTCTGTTAAATAATTGATTCTAGGAAAAATTTCAGTATAATACCTTTAAGTAAAAAACATTAAAATTATAATTATGTGAAAGGATCAAAAGGACATTAAAATTATAAATGACGGAAATCATAATATTTTTATTTTTATAATGATTTAGTCCTCAAAAATATTGCATACATCGATCAATTATATTAGAAATAAAATATAAAATATTAGTCTTCTAGATCATTGAAAATCAAAGTTATTGACCAATAAAAATACTAGGACATAAAGATATAAAAAAGAAGCTATTGACCACATTAATTTGATGATCCAAAATTTTCTTTTGAAGTCACTATCACTAGGTGTTATTTTATATTAAAAAAAATACTAAGTGACTTTTATCTTTATTCCTTAGTTAAAAAAACGATAATTCAACAAAAAAATACCATAATTAATAATAATAATAATAATAATAATAATAATAATAATAAGAAGTGATAAATTCTCGAGAAAATATCCATAATTTAATTGTGATAGATCTTGTTTGAATAAGAATGTTTTTCAATAATTAGTAATCCATATTAACTAATATCATGAAGTTCTTAATTGAAATACTCTAATCCATAATTTGTTTTACCATCAAAATTATTTATAAAAGTAAATAATATGTGCAATTTTAAAAAATTAAAAGAAATTTGTGTTATTTTCATATTGGTTGGTAATCGAATATTACTTTTAACAATTTTTAAATTGAATTCATTAGTTTTCAATGAAAGATCTTACACGCATGGTTTTGGATGAGTTTTTTTTTTTTTGAATGAGTTTTATAATGAAGTTGTGAAATCGAATTTGGAAAATCACTGTCAATTAGGCAAAGTAATTTGAAAAATTCCAAAACTAGCTAGGACGTTTAGGTTCTATCAACCAATTCGCTTTTATGTATAGTTGACTGTTGGATAGCGTCACGTGATCTTTCCAACTTCCATGGGTATGCAAATAATTTCAGGTCAATCTTTGAGGACAGGCCATGATTAGATGCAATTTTTCAGTATTATATAATATTTTTTTATTAAAAAATATAAATTTTTTTAAATTAGAGATTAAAAAATATAAAGCATTTTTAATTTTTTAAATTGTAATAAATTATTACATTTTTTTCAAAGTATTCCACCCTATTAAATAGGGATAAATATAAAAAAAATAGGGTTCGTTTAAAAATAAGTAACTATTTTATTATAAGTAAAATTTGATTAAAAATACCTTACATTTTTAAATGAAAAGAGTATAATAATAATCACCTTGTACTAGGAAAAAGTAGTGTTTTTATGTTAGTTGAAAAAATATCGATATAAAATAGAAGGTGGTGACATTTTTATAAATTATGAAAATAATTTTTAATTGATTATTTACATCAATTTCAGTTTTAATCAAAGAATTAATTTTTTTTACACAGGTTAGTATTATACTTAATTTTGTACAACTTGAATTAGTTTGAGAAAACCCTCAACTTGTTCCAAGTTCTTGTTAGGGAGAATGAGAATACAGTCTTACAAGAGGAAATTTATGATAGATAGGTAGTCTTGACAAAATTCTCAAAAAAAAATAAATTATAAATATTAATTTAAATAATTACAAAAAAAAATCTCACCTGCAAAGTAAGAGTTATACATTTAAAATTTAAATATTTTATTTACAATTAAATTATTTTAATCAATATTCATAAATTATTTTTTAAAATTTTTAATCAATAATCTAACAATCATTAATTATTTTTCTTGAAACTTAATTGTCATTCTCCCATCTTTTTGTACCAATAAAATTAGTAAAAATTAATGAATTTTGATCAAAGAAGATAAATGTTAAATTTTAAATTGAGTTTGTTTCATATGGTGGCAGGTCCACTGTATCACATGGGATGGTACCATCTATTCTATCAATACAATCCTGATTCAGCAGTGTGGGGCAACATCACGTGGGGTCATGCTGTATCAAGGGACCTCATTCATTGGCTCTACCTTCCCATTGCCATGGTTCCTGATAGACCATTTGATATCAACGGTGTATGGACCGGGTCGGCCACATTGTTGCCAGATGGCAAAATCGTAATCCTCTACACAGGTGATACCGATAAAAAAGTACAAGTACAAAATCTAGCTTACCCCGCCAACCTATCTGATCCCCTTCTCCTTGATTGGGTCAAGTATGCCCATAACCCGGTTTTGGTGCCCCCAACCACTGTTGCCCCGAGAGATTTTCGTGACCCGTCCACTGCATGGATCGGACCAGATGGAAGATGGCGGGTTACCATTGGGTCAAAAATGAAAAAGACAGGCTTTTCATTTGTTTATACTACCACAGATTTCATCCACTTTGAGAAAAACGTTCACCACTTGCATTCGGTCCCAGGTACGGGCATGTGGGAGTGCGTGGATTTTTATCCGGTTTCGGTAAACGGGTCAAAAGGTTTGCCCACATCAGTAAATGGGCCAGGAGTTAAGCACGTGTTAAAGGCTAGTATAGATGATACTACAATAGATCATTATGCACTTGGGACTTACTTCATTGAGAATGATACATGGATACCCGATAACCCGAAAGAGGATGTGGGTATCGGGTTAAGAGTAGACTATGGAAGATACTACGCATCGAAGTCCTTTTATGATCCAGTCAAAGAGAGACGTGTCCTCTGGGGTTGGATTAATGAAACGGACACTGAGAATGATGACTTGAAAAAGGGTTGGGCATCTGTTCAGGTATTTTTTTTTCCCTCTCTCTCTCTTTTTTTCAAAATGTTTATGTCAATTTCTGCTTCCTATAATCTGTTTATCATGTAGGCTACGTGTTTATATCACTATTTTCCTCTTAAATCTATAAATAATATAGGATGAAATGACAATTATGTCCTTAAACAATATATTAGTATCTGGAACCTAAAACCCTTTTTTAGTGTATTTTTCTCCTTCAATATTTAAAAATGTTGAAATCTCCTAAAATGCTTTTAAATATTGAGTTACAAAAATTTACTGAAAAAAAAGTTTAGGATTTGCTCTTGAATAGATAATTTAAAGATAAAGTTACCTTTTTACTCTATAATATAATATACACATGTTACATGCGCACTCGATATCCAGAGTCATTCAAATCTTGACTAATTTTGAATTGAGCTGATTAAGACCACAAGGGTGGCAAGCTCTTTCAAGGAGTATTTAAAGCAAATGTATATGAAGAGCTCAAATTTGAGACCATCTAGCATAGCCCTTAACTAGTTAAGCTACACATTTATCGGTAAAATTGTATATATTAGATGTATAATGAACTCCTATGACAAGTTGTTAGATGATTATTCACAACTACATAAGTGTTTGAAGTATCTAAAATAGAGGTAAGTGTTGAGCCGTTTAATACATGACTCTAATATGTAACTCATTATGCTTACAAAATTTTAAGTAAACTAAACCTCAAACATTCTATTTCCAAAGAACAAGAACAATACTAATGTTTGGATATTCCCCCTTTTATTTTATTATTTTTTTTAATGTGGCAGACTATTCCAAGGGAAGTGACATTTGACAAGAAAACTGAGACTAATATTCTTCAATGGCCAGTAGAAGAGATAGAGAGCTTAAGGCTAAGAAGTTCTGAATTTGAAAGCATAGTCCTCAAGCCTGGCTCCGTTTTGCCCTTGAACATAGGTTCAGCGACACAGGTTTGTTTATAACATCAAGTTCTGAAAAGCATTCACGTCTTATGTTTTCATTCAAAGATTTATCATCTTTCCTGCAAAGATACATCATATTAAAAGCCATGAATTTAGTTGGATCTTGCTTTGCCCACAAGGTGTTTGTTGAATTGCCACAATTGATGAGTCCGCTAATAGACTGTTTGGATTTGCTGGAAATATGATTCGGCTGGACATATTTGCTGAATTTGAAATTGACAAACAGATCTTATGTTTTCGTTCAAAAAATTATTAACTGACTCACAAAAATTATGATCAAGATCTTTCATGTGAAGATACCTCATCAGAATCATGAATTTAGAAGTCAAATCCTGCTTAGCCCACAAGATGTTTGTTGAATTTCCTCAATTGAAGAGTCTACTAATGGACTGTGTTGGATTTGCTGGAAATTTGATTCAGTTGGACATATTTGCTGAATTTGAAATTGAATCGTTGGGATCTCAAGAGATTGCCGAAGACAGTGTAGGTTGTGGGCATGGAGCTAGTGATAGAAGTGCATTGGGACCATTTGGCCTTCTGACTATAGCTGATGATACACTTTCTGAGTTAACGCCCATTTATTTCCGTCCCTCTAATACAAGCCATCAAAATTCAACAAGTTATTTCTGTGCTGATGAAACCAGGTATGTATCAATTTTCAATTTTCAATATGTGGTTCTGATTTCACTTTTTCTTAGAAAAGAAATAATTAGATTAAGGTGAAGTCTGAAGCATTGCTATGATTTTTATTAATTATTGATACTGTTTTGGTACTGTAAAATACACACATTTTTTTCCCTTAAGTTTGTTTTAATGTGCATTTCATATTCTCTCAGTTGAGGGAACGAAAACAAGCACTGGGTCTAATAGATACAATAAATTTTGTCTGAGAAAAGAGAAGTCCGTTTTCAGACACAAAACCAGACGGTTCATACTTCAGGAATTATTTGTACTGTTTTGGTACAGTAAGATATGTATCAAGTTTTTTGGGAATAATTTCGATTTAGATGCATGCTAAATATAGTGTGCACATGTGACTCTAAAGTATTGTACACTGTGTAGTTACTGTAAGAACAAAACAAGTAAACTGGCAATCTCATTGCTTCCCTCTCATTAAGTGCTCTGCGCACAATGCTACAGATTATTCATATTAAGTTTCATGCATTCAACAATAATACATATCAACAACAACAACAAGCCTTAGCCCTTATTCCATTAGATAAGTTACATGAATTGCAAGACGTTATTATGCTCTATCAATAACCAAATCTTTGCATATATTGTTAATCGAAAGTCTTGTTTAATAACTTCATTAAGTGTTCTTTTTTTATCTTCTTCTACCCCTCTTTAGGACTTAAGATTATTTGTTCCACTTCTCTCACCAATGCCTCTCACAACCTTTTTTGTACATATTTAAACTATCTTAAATGATTTTCTATCATTTTTTCCAACAATAATGCACATGATTGTATTAACAACTTCGATGTCTTATATAGTCTGAAATCTGAGTAATTATTTTTAGTCCAATTGCACGAACTTTGAATTCATTAAGAAACTTCAATTAGTATTTGGGTTGGTGAAGCATCACAGAATGAATAGCTCGAATAAGAGTTGTTCGATTATGCAGGTCATCTAAGGCTCCTGATGTTATAAAGACAGTTTATGGGACCGAAGTTCCAGTGTTCAGTGATGAGAAACTGTCAATGAGAGCATTGGTAAGTGAAAATCAAACGATAACAGCTTCTTACTCAACTTAGAAATTATTTCCACATGCATTTCCTTTTTTATGAATATATACTAGTGAAAAAGTAGGATTTAATATCAGAATAAAGAAAACCAAGTGTATTGAAATCCAATCCAAGAAACTTAAATTCAGTGTGATTTAAGATTAAGTTCGGGTGAAAATTTGTAGTTGTTTGGTATTAAGTTATTTGATAAACATAACATGTGAAGAAACTTGTTTTTGATGGATTCAGCAGTCACTGTGTTGACCTGTAATAAGTATCTGCTTAATTCGTTTTAGCAGAAGAACATTACAGTAAACACCACCTAAGAGGAAGTTCTTCATGGCTTTTCAGTAAGTAGTTTAAGCTTTTTAATTGAATTGATCATTTACAATGATGATAAAGCCTAATTTCATAGTCATTCTAAATTACTGAGTGGTTATATGGATGTGCTGGTCTGCTGGACAACTTCAAGGGATATAGTGCACTTTTTTTTTTTCCCTCATATTTAGCAATCTGTTTTTTTTTTTTTTGGGGGGGGGGGGTGTACAATCGATGTTGATGGATCCCAAAATAGGTGAGAAGTTTCTCTCCGCCTTAATACTTCTGCACCCAGAGTGAACCCAAGTCGTCCAAAATAATGAGTCATCTTTTTTTTTTTAATTGGAAAAATCACTCTTGAGGTTCCACAAAAGCAATCTGGCTACAGAAAAGTTCCGTGAGATCACAAAATTAATTTAAAGTTCCATATCCTTTTATTGAAGTTAATTGTTGCTGCTTAGTTGTCAACTAACAGCTATCCAGCAGTAATTGACAATTGCAATTTAGCAAATTGACAACTTCAGCAAAGTAATGTTGTGATTTCATGAAATTTTATTGCAATTAGATTTCTTATATGGGACTTGAGAGTAATTTTTCCTTTTTTATTTGGGGCAGCTAATGAGTTGTGGAACAAAGAAATCGGATTACTGATTTAACCTACCTCAAATATCTCTTGAATATATATGTTCTTGTACTTGTCTTTTGAATTTAGTTGTTGAGACACACACATACTTCTGCATACGGCTTGTAGCTTTCATACAATATTGAAGTTAATGAGAATTGATTTCCTAAACTCTGAATGTGATTGATTAGGTTGACCATTCAATCATTGAGAGCTTTGCTCAAGGAGGGAGAAGAGTGATCACATCTAGGGTTTATCCAACAGAAGCCATATATGGAGCAGCAAGGTGTTTCTATTCAACAATGCAACAGCCATCAACATCAAGGCCTCCCTCAAGATTTGGCAATTGAACTCTGCTTTCATACGCCCTTTTCCCTTTGATCAGAGTCAATGAAAGGTTTAGAGTACGTTTGCATATTATATTAATATTTGTATCTTATGGTAATATCTATTGTTGCCATGGGAAAAATAAAATAAATGTGATAATCTTGTGGTGCATGGCTAAATCTTTAATATATTTGATTAATTTTCAACCATTTATATATATATATATATATAGAAATAAGTAAAAAAAACAAAAACAAAGGAAAAATCACTATAAAGTCCCTTGTAAGCATTGCAATGTCCCAAAAGTCACACCAAAGACTGTGGAGTCCCTGGGAACTTACTTGTAAATAAGGTATTTCGTGAATTGATTAAAATGCCCATGATTTGAAAAGGATGTCCTTCTTTACTTTAACTCAATCAGGGCATATTGGTCATTGTATGTCCAATCTTATTCACAAAGGTCTTATTTGTTCAAGGCAATACCTTAATAATCTGTGGTGCAAGGCTAAGTCTTTCAAATATTAGATTAATTTTCAACCATTTATGTATATAGAAATGAGTAACAAAAAATAAATGAGGCAATAGACTTCCCTCTTGAAATGCACGCACAATTTCATTGCTTAACAAGCCAATCAACAATTTGGTTAACAGAACAAGGTCCCAGAAAAAAAAGAACGAGAAGAAAATCCTATTATAAGCAAGATAACATTCTCCAAAATCTGCAATATTAACATAATCAATGAGCTTTTTAAAATCCTGACCAGAAAAAAAATGAGCTTTTTAAAATCCTGACCAGAAAAAAAAAAATGAGCTTTTTAAAATCACATTCAAATTCGACCTGTCTTAAATTCAGATGGCATTAGGAATGATGATCTTGGCAAAGTCTCCATGGGGATTGAAAAAACAGGATGTTATTTAAAAAAAAGAATAATATTAAATTAAAATGATATTATGATAATTTTTCATTTAAATTTAATTTCTTTAAAGTAACTTATACTTTTAGTGCTTTTGGTCAAAAAGGAGTTCTATTTTATCCCTTTAGCTCGTTTTGTCAATATACTAAAGTTTTCTGCTCGCTTTTTCTTTTGAAGATATGCTCTCCTCTTCTTTTCTCAACTCTTCCTTTTCTCTTTATTTTTTAATTATCAGATCAAAATAATAATAGTTTACATTATAATTTTCTATAAAATTATTATTAAAATATTAAATTATAAAAATAAATAAATGATCAAATTTAAACGAATAAATTTTAATCTTAAAAGTTTAAAACTGCAGTAAAAATAAAATAAAAAGAAATATGTTATAATAGATTAAATTTAAACTATCCAAAACATTAATTTTGTAGTTAGAAAAGGAAGTGGAGGGGATTAGGAAAGTCTACCCCCTTCTTTTTCACCTCCCTCATTCCAATTGGGTTGGCATAATTTAACTGGATGGTGATTAACATTCTTAAGATGCCTAATAATTTTTTCATCTCCCATGCTCTATTTAGTAGAGTAACAACATCATATTAAAGGAATTTAAAAGTTATTGATTTTAGTATAAGGGGTTATGAATGCTTAAATGAGGTTTTGGGGTTTGATTTTGGGTGAATGCATAAAACACTTTTAGGTGAGTTATTTTTAATTGGATTTAATGATGCTTGAATTTAGAGAAATCAAATAATATATATATATATATATATGTAAGAGATTTAAAAAGGGAAAATGACTGGATTCCTATGGCTCTGCTACCACAAACCTATTTTTTTCTTTTGGATAAAAAAACCTTTTTAAAAATCTTTTTTTATAAAAAATAATCTATTAGTAATGAATTACTGAAAATGTAGATATGTGTGACGTACCTTAACTTACTGTTAACAAGCCTTGACCTCACTTGAAATTTAACCTATTTCAGGTTTTGGAATAAATTGTTGGGAACTAAAAATGTCGCAAAGTATATTTACTTGATTTTTTAAATGATTTATCTGTATATTATATTATTGATAGTGAAAATTTAAAATTCACAATTGATTCTTTTAAATTCTTAACTAACATTACAAATAACCCCAGATATATTTAGTAGATTTTTCAATTGACTATATGTAATTTTTAATTACAAATAAGGACCATAGTATGTTATTAGGATTTCAATAATTTAAGGTTTGCAATTATTATTAATATTTTTATGGGTCCCTAATTGTCATTTTTCCTTTATTTTATATTATTTTTTTGGAAATTAAAAAACTCACTTTTATTATTATATATAACTATTTCCTTTTATTTTCAACATATATTATTTAAAACATATCAATCTATTCCTGACTAGTTAAATTCAAAGCACGGTTACCTAATGAATCATGAACCAATATTTTACTTCCTTCATTAAAAAATATAAAACATTTTTAAGGAGTTAGATATTAATAAATGTAAAGCATTTTTAATATTTCAAGATGTAATCATTGCTTTTTTTTAAAAATACTCCTATTAAATAATCACTTTATATTTATATTAGAATGAAACACCCGATAATACGTATAAATATGAAAAGATAGTATCAGTTTGAAGACAAATATCTACTCCCTCTGTCTCTATATATAAGATATTTTAACTAAATCGCGCAAATCTATAAAAGTTGGTTATCTAATTAAAAATATAGCAACATTCCCATTTTCCCCCTGATTATTATAAACAAAAAATAAATCTTCTTTTTTAAAGTAAATTAATGAGATTACTCATCTTTTTCTCTTTTCAATTTAATAAGGATATAATAGTCTATTTATTACAAATATGCTAACAACTTCTTATATTTAAAAATAATAAAATATTTTAAAAAGTCTTTTATATATAGATATGGATGAAGTATTTTATTGAAGGGTAAAATTTGATTATAACTATCTTATATTTTTAAATAGGGGGGATATTTCATTCTTTTTAAAGACATTGCTCCAACCCAATTTTGATTTCAAGGCCACCTGAAGCCATGTTTAGTACCAGTGAAATGGGAGCTAATAGAATGAAAGGAACAAACAACAGCTCCGATTACCTTATTGGTTTGTGGGAGTGGCCAATGGAATGACACATTACTCATTTGAGGTATTGCACATTCCATGAGCTGACCATTCCCATTCGGCCTTTTCTCGTGATGATATTTTGTTTGATAGTTTCCGACAGCTGTACCCTTCTTCTATTGAATAAAAAGGAAAAATATATATATCAATAACCAAACATTTACAACCCAATCAAGACGAAAGCATCACCTAGAGCATTCCATTCTCGCAGTCGACGCCTTCTAGTGTCCCTGTACTTGTCATCTCTCTCGTGTTCACATCGCCGCTGCATTCCAGAGCTTCGCCGGCACAAATCTTTTGTCTGCCCCGATCATTGTTTCGCCATTGATTTTCTGATCCCTTGTTCATGCCCATTTTCACTACTTGCACAGTTTGAACTGGTGAACGGAACTGTTCGGTGGAGTGTGAGGTCGTTGCGGATTGCGATATAAAATTTTTGTTTATTCTTAGCCTGGAATTTTCTTTTTTTGGGTACAAAAAGAGAAAAAACCTGAAGTTTTTCAGGGAGAGTTTGAATTTGATCGCTTACTGTCATTGTCGCACAGTAAAGATCTCTCTCCCTTTTGATTGGCATCGTCTTCTTTTTTTCCCCCCACATAAAACGCAGCGTTTCGAAGAACAGGTTCAGGCGACATTTTGCCCCTAAATGTCACAGGCGGAGAACGATGTCAACGCCGATGATTCTTTAAAGTATAATGTGGAGTTCAAGAGCCATGACGATGACGCATGGTACTCCGTCAGGGCTGTGCTTGAGCGAGAAGATGTTCTGAGAATAAAGTTCCAGAACTTCGGCGACAGTCACGATAAGGTCTTTCAAGCTCAATGCTTCAATAGCTTGGAGGAGGTGGAAGAGTTCAAGAAACGGTTCAGACCGGTTTCGTTGCAGCTTCAAGACGATGAGTGCCGAACCGTCATACCAGGAACGACCGTCTGTGCTTGCTACCGCTACTGCAATGAAGATGTTCGTTTCTATGACGCTACCGTTTTTGTGGTGAGTGCTTATCCCATTACCACCATTTCTTTTATTACTATTCGACGGTGGTTGTTGTTATTTACTTGTTTGATTATGAAAATTATAGTGACAAACTGTAATCGAATATATATATATATATATATATATATATAAACATCACAAAGTGAGATTGGAATTGGATAGATCGCATTTTGCTTTATCAACATATGCTCGCTTCATAGTGTTAAAATGGATATTTTCCTTATATATAGATATGAATTTTATCTTTCTTGACTAATATATTCATTTCAACGTCCTCATCTTGTGATCTAAGGTGACGTTTGATTATTAAAAAAAAAAAATAGAGTGATCTAATTGGTTATTAGGAAGAAATGGAATGAAATTAATTGAAAAAATAAAATAAAAATGAATTAAATCACCCTTCTTTTTATGATAAGTATAATAAAATTTATTGGTATATATTATAAATGTAGTAATCATCACACCCTTCAATCATGTTATGATTTTTTAACTTTATGAATTAATTACCTTTCTCTCTTATAAATGTACTCACCTATCTATTATAATTATCTTATTTTTAGCTTTATTTTTTCAATCCATTTCATTCCTTTCTTGCAAGCAAATGGGATCTAAATTTTTTTTGGTAGTCTTAGCAATTCAAAAAATGTAAAATAATATAGTTCATTTTTCAAATTGGATAATGCAAAAGAAACATGACTACTTTTATATCAAGGTTAAAAGGCATTTTTCCATGTGGGGAGCACTGGTTATTTTTTATGTTTCCTCACAGCAACATTGCTGCTCAATTGTCAAAATTATAATGATCATTTTTTTCCCTTCTAGCACCTATACTAAAGGGTAGAGCAATATTCCTTCTAAACAATCTTTTTAGGAGAAAAATCACTCTTTTGTCAAAGATTCGACATCTTTTCTATTATTTGCTAATGGAGAATAGTTGTGGACCCACACATAGTGACAACAAAGCATTTTAACCTATTTTTAAATGTCAATTCTCTTCTGGCCCATATTAGATAGTCAAAATGAGTTAGAATGTCTTGTTATCATTGTGCGTGAGCTCCACAACTATTTCACTTTAGTAGATAATGAAAAAGATGATAGGTTTCTAATGGAAGAATAATTTTTCTTTTGAAAAAAAATATTTAGAAAAATATTGTCCCACCCTTCAAGTACAGGCTGTGTCCAGCACTCTTCAAAAATAATTTTAGAGGGAAAAATGGTCCCATTAATAAAAAGTTATCAGTATATACTAACAATTAACTAATGGTTCTATCACATTATATAGTTGTTTGCTTATAAATGTTTTTGTTAGTCCTATAGTTAGTCAATTTTGATAAGAGGTCAGTTAGTAATAATTTGAAAGTGAGATTGAGAGATTAGATTTTACCATAAGTAAAAAAGTTTAGATATTCGAGGATGGTTATTCAAAATGATGGTGAAATTGATAGAGATGTCGCAAATAGTATACAAGTTAGGTTATTCAAGTGGGGAAAGGTTGTAAAAGTTATTTGTAATTGGAAGGTATTTAATAACCTTAAAGAGATCCTGAATCAAACTTTTATAAGACTAGTTATGGTATGTGATAGCAACTGTTAGATTTTAAAGGAACTACAAGAACATAAACTGGAGTGTTAGAGATGAAGATGTTGAAATTAATGTATGAGCATGCATGAAAAAAATTTGTAATGAGTAATAAAAACAAGTTTTTCCCCATTGAGCGGGGTCAATTACATGAAGTGTATGACATCATTATGCTCTATTATCAACCAAACTTTTGGGAATATTGTTAATTAAGAAATCTTGTTCAACAATATCTATGAGTGTTTTCTTTAGTTTTCTTCTACCACTTTTTACAAGTTCAAGATTATTTGTTCTCTTCTTCTCACGAGTATCTCCCATAGCTTTTTTAGTACATGTTCAAAAACATCTCAAATAATTTTTATCATTTTCTCAATAGATGCCACGCTTAATTTTTCTTGTATATGCTTATTATAGATTTTATCTTTTCGTATATGTTTGCATATCTATCTCAATATTTTCATCTTTGCTGCTCTAACTTCATACTCTTATTATCCTCTTAAAATCCAACATTTATTACCATGTAATATGGTTGGTCTTATAACAGTTTGATAAAACTCTTTTTAAACTCATTAGGTACCCTTCTAATCACAAATAGCTCCTGTAGCCTTTTTTTATTTAAACAATCTAGCTTGTATCCTATGTGCAACAATCCCATCAATGTCACCATCATTTTGATTAACTGCTCTTAAGTATCTAAACTTTTTTACTTGTGGCATGGTTTGATTTTCCAATTTCATTTTTAAATTATTGTTGACTGATCTCCTATAAAAAATGCAATGCATATATTTTGCTCCTACTCAGGCAAAGTCCTTCAACTCCAATATTCTCTTCCATAACTTAAGTTTAGAATTAATCTCTTTTCTTCACTTTGCATTAATAACTATATCATCCGCAATAAAACATGCAACTGGAGATTTTCTCTTGAATATGCTTAATTAGAATATCTAAAACTAGGTCAACCAAGTATGACCGTATGAGCTCAAAGATGTTCTTTGATGTAGGTCAATTCTAATAAGAAAGTCTTTTGTTTTGCCACTAGATGTTTTTATGTGAGTTGGTGCCCCCTCATACATATCTTATAGAACTTTAATATAAGTAACTTGAGCTCCTATCTTTTTTAAGGCTTTTCAAAATATTTTTATTGGTAAACAATCATAAGTTTTTTTTTCTTTTCAAATTAATGAAAAACACGTGCAAGTCTCTACTTTTACTTTGATATTTTTTTCATTAATCCCCCTGGTAGGTAAATTACTTCTATAGTAACCCTTTTCGGCATGAAACTAAATTGGTTCTTAGAAATACCAATCGCCAACCTTAACAACCACAATAAGTCTTATCTTACTAGGTGGGGTTGGCTACATGGATTGTACAACACTATTGTATTCTATCATTTACCAAATTTTTAGAAATGTTGTTAATTAAGAGATGCCGGTTAGTAATTTTCATGAGTATTTTCTTTGGCTTTCCTCTACTTCTCTTAATAGGGCTCAAAATTATCTATTCAACTCTTCTCATTAGTCCCTCTTGCAGTCTTCTTTGTACATGTTTAAACCATCTCAAATAATTTCTACCATTTTTCCCTCAATAGGTGTTATGCCCACATTTTTTTCATGTGTGCTCATCCTCAGATTTTATCTTTACGTGTATGTCTGCACATTTATCTCTATTCTTATCTTTGCTGCTCTAACTTTATGATTTTGCTGTCCTGTTAAAGTCCAACATACACTTTGCTTATGTTTATAGTAGGTTTTATGCTCGAGTGAAGGAGGAGGGTTGTGTTAGACCCTTAATAGTTGACGTTAAACTTTATTGAATCTCACATGGATATGGACCAATTGCCAACCTCAACCTATATTTAATAACTTTCTTTCACCATTTTATTGTATAACTCATAAGCTTAATCTCTCTTTAGTTAGCAAAATTCTGAATATCACCTTTATTATTATAAATAGGAACTTAGGTGCTTCTTTTTCATTCATTAGGGATTTTTTTGGACCGTAAGATTTCATTAAATAGTTTAGTTAGCCACAGAATCCCCTCTTTACCTAAATATTCTCACATTTCAATAGGGATATTGATGGAACCCTACTATTCAACACTCAAAAATATAGAAATAATGACAATAAAATAGCCAATGGATTAAGGAAAATGCCAAGGTTTGATATTAATGATTCCAAAAGATTAAATCAGTGTTACAAAGACACTCATTAATTCAGAACAAACCCTATTCCTTAGAACCACAAAAATATTCAACAAAACAGTCATAATGCAATGCTATAAGGCATGCCCTCTAGTTTTCGAGAGCTAGGCTCTCCTCTTACTCCAAATACAAAATATGAACCCAAAAAAAAAAGACACTAGTGCTACTATAACCTTGAAAGAATCTTGCACTGTCTCCAACATCATTTTCTATTAAGATAGGCTTAAAACCTCTTAGCCAACACTAAGTCAGTATAGCTTTCTTTTTAAGATTAAGAATAACAAAGTCAACATTCAGCACATTGAACTTATAAACTCCACATTATTTGTGAGGCTCCCGATGTGGGACTTGTGATAATGGCACCTTGTCAAGAGCCGATGTCCCCGGTGGCTCTACTTCATAGCACTTCACTCGGCCTCCTGCTAGCCAGAACTCTTTGTGTGTAGCCTTTTTCGTGACCCCAACCTTTCAATAAAATTACCAATGTAACGAGCACAAACCTAAAGAGAGAGCGTACTTCAAAAGATAGATGACTGAGACTGTTGGCCCTGTATCCAAATTAGAAGAGACAGGCGATGAGGAAGAAGAGGGAGCCACTTGGATGGAGCTTTCACTAAACTCCATCATGGGATTTGGTGACAATCACACTATGAAAGTAAACAGAAAAATCAAAGAAGCAGAGATAATGATCTTGATAGACAGTGGTGCCACCCACAACTTCATCTTAGAAGAATTGGCAGTAAGTTGGAGCTTCCAATGGATGAGATAGTCGAATATACAATCATAGTAGGTGATGGGTACTCTTTAAAGAAGCAGCAGTGTTGTAAAGATCTCCAATTAAAGGTATAAGGTCTCGATATAATCCAAACTTTCTACCCCTTTCCCTTGAACGGAATAGATGTTGTATTGGGGATGGAGTAACTTAAATCATTGGGTGACGTGAGAGTAAATTGGAGTTTGCTAACCATGAAGATCAACAAGAAGGGTCAATGAGTGTGTTTACGAGGAGACCCCACACTATTAAAAAATCAAGCTACACTGAAGTCCTTGGTTAGGTCAATGAAGAAGGGGGAAGGATTTTTAATAGAGTTTAATGGATTGGTGGGTGATCAAGGAGAGGCAATGTGAGTGATTTCAGAGGTGGAGAGATTGCTGCAGAACTTTTCATCAGTATGCCAAGCCCTTGAAGGATTAACCCTTTTAAGAGCAAAAGATTATG